GAGCTGCATGAACTCGCGCCTGCAGTTGATACCGACACCGTTCATGACACCCATGTTTCCAGAGAAGTCACTGCTCTGCGACTTCGTGTTGTTAACGTGCATCGACGTGTTGTTCGAGTTGCTGTTGGAGGTGCTGGATTGCGTGTTGGAGTGAACCCTGACGTTGCTCACATTGAGCTTGCCCATTCCTGGATTGGTCTTGCTCAGGCTAGTGCCGATTCCTAGATTGGTCTTGCTCAAGCCAGAGATGTGCGAGAAATCCATGTTGCGAGTGACCATGGAGACATGATCGTTGATTTGGTGCTGCTTGGCCTCGAAGAAAGCGCGACCACAGACCTTGCCAACGCTCGCACTCCCAAAGCTGTTACCACCACCGTTGTTGCCCTGGGTTATTTGGTTACCGGATTGGGAAGTGTTCCTGTATGAGTCAATAGTGTGTGAGTGAATCTCGACATCGGATACTGTGAATTGGTCACTCACGAGGCGTTTGACGTGTTCGAATTGTTTGAGATCGTGGTGCTTTGACTCTGGTTTGAGGTGGTGTTGTTTGTCGTGTTACACTTTCCCCCCAAACAGCGCTTTTGCAGGTAGCCATCAGCAGAGACTGGAGCGGCGCTTACTGCAGAGAGCGATGCAGCAGCAAGGACGGCGGAGACGATGATGGACTTCGTATACATCATGCCGAAGGGAGTAAAAGGTCTTGATATTTGAAATAGATTTGCTTGGGGGAATAGGGAAACTTGTTACCAGCACAGAGATGGGGAGACTTGAGCAAGAAACGTTCCGGAGTAGTGAATAAGAAATTTAATAAGAGAGGACCGGCCTGAGGAAAGAAGCCACAACAAATCGGAATATCGCTCGCTGCAGTCGTATTTATATCAAGCATCATTGCCTCACATGCCAAATGCTACATCCCGCGTTGGACTCGGTTGCTCTGCGAGGACTGGTGTGCGGCCAAGGTCTGAGGATCAACGCTAAGCGTTGTAGAGCGGTGCTCCAGATTGTAAGAGCTCTTCAGCAACTCCCTCACGCTCAATAACTGTGATGTCGAGCTCTAACGCTCCATCAATACCCATGCGGTCCCGTGGCGTTACGGGGGCAACGGCACTTTTTCATACGGCCTTTCATGAAATATAGAGACTGCCGTTGTGCACTGTCTGGGTGGAAGACTTATAGTGCAAAACAGGAGGAATCTTTATCTGATCGGAGGCTCCGAGATCTAGCGATTGGGCCTGCAGCAGTGTTTACATTTTTTCACTCGGCTATTTTCACACCGGCACCCTGCTTTTTGCTCCACAGGCGACTCGGCTCCACGACCCGGTGGGGAGCTCCACTTTACTGTAGGAGATCTGTGACTCCGCTGGCTAACGAAAAGTTCCAAAATGTCCACCAGGTCCCGCTTTCCTGCCCGCTGCAAATCTGGCACTGGCATGCACTGGGACTGGCGCAGTCTCAGATATTTACTTCGAGTTTTGTCGACATATCCTCTCGCTTGCGCCAGCCCCAATCGAAACCAGCTTGGCCGGGGCGGGGAACTCCTTTTTCAGGCGCCAGTGGCCAATATGTAGCGGCACCGCAGCAGACCTGAACAATTTGTACCAGATCCAATTCCTCTCTTCAATATCTGATCGAGTCGCCAAGAGCGCATGTAGAATGGACGGCGATGAATCACAAAACGTTTCCTTCCTTGCCTGTCGCTAATTGCATGTCGGCCTGCACGGAAGGTCCGTACTATTGTCTCGAGAGCTTGGCATACACACCTAGCTGGCTGCTGATATGACAATGTACACCTGACGGCTGACTGCAAACTAAAAAATTATTCATGATTTCGGCATTCATAGGACTGGAGCAAAATATATACTCGTCTTCCTTTCGACCCATTCTATGAGCTCCCTCTCCTTCTCCTCATCGATTCTCGGTTGCATTGCCCATCCAACTCCAGCTGGTCTGGTCATCATCCCTGCTTTTCTCTCCACCTTTGCCAGCATTTAGCAGCTGGTCTGCCCTCACAACAAGAACCAGACCTTTTCTTTGCAACACCTTCACTAGCACATCATGGCCCGTCTCGCGCTTGCTTTCGTTACTTTTTCGGTCGCTGCGGCCTCCGCTTGGGCTGCAGGTCTCGCAGACCTCTACGACGAGAACGTTGCTATGGTGCGACACTACGAGGCTCAGGGACCCATAGCTCGCGGGCACGGCTCTGTTATGGACATCCTTAAAAGCCTCGAGGATGACCCCCTAACGGCGGCCGCACTCTCCGATATGGATCTTTCTGAATTGACCCACAAGTCCACCAATTCCTATGGGTACCCCGGAGGCTCTGTCACCATCACTGTTGACAACAGCTCGTCCAACCATGCCAACTACAGCGGCAACACAGGTACTATCATCAATGACGAGAGGATCAAGCGAAGTCTTCTGCCTGCCCCGCGCCCAGTACCGGCTGCGGCTCCGAAAGCTGCTCCAGCAGCCGCGGCTCCGGCTCCAGCTGCGGCTCCGAAAGCTGCTCCAGCAGCTGCGGCTCCGAAAGCTGCGGCTCCAGCTGGGGGCTTCACCAGCTCCATCCGGCCAGCAGCTGCGGCTCCGAAAGCAGCTCCAGCTCGAGCTGCCCCGCAGACGGTTAATGTCACTAAGAACTCGCTCACAATGAACAAGGACCAGTCCACCAACAACGCTGCCCAGATGAACCACAATTCTGGCCAAATCCAGAACTCTGGGAACACGTACGGCGTCTACAATGCTTGCACTGTTATGATCGAGGAGCGCAGCTTTGTCGACGAAGTCCTTCAAGCCCGTGATCAAAGCTCAGACAAGCAGGGAGACTCGAAGCCGCAGGGTGACCATGGGAGCCAGAAGGCGAACGGCTCAGGTACTCAAGACATTCTGAGGAGGCGCGGCCGCGGCGGCGCAAACCACTGCGCTTGCAACTGCGGTATCAGGCGTCGCAGTTCTGGCGTCGTTGAGATCGCCAGCCCCAATGCGCATTCCCTGGAAGCCAGGCTCGAGCCGAGCTGCTCGATTCTCAAGAATACTGCCACCGGCCAGCACCATTGGTCTGGCTCGTGCGCGAACTCGACGCTCGATGGTCGCTCCATTATCAGCATCTTGCGCGAGGTCGAGCTTTGAAACCAAGTGAATGCATGAAGCGTATAAAGATTCACGGAAATCATTTGGCTCTGTAATCTATGCAGTGCAGGATGCTGAAGACATACATAATGCTGCAAAGTACGATGCAAGTGACGAATGCATTTGAGGACATTGACCCTGCCGCCTCAAGCTTCTTTTTTGGCAACACAACCATCCAGAGCTACCTACAGTAGACATTATGTATTTGACGGCGGATGCAGATTACATGACCGTAAAGCCTCTGTCACAACATCCGAATTGAATCGCGTCCCCAGCAGAGCAGAAGAATTGCCGATTTCAGTCCGAGGTTTTGCTCAATGCCGGAGCATTTAAGCTTGTTCGCATGCTCGGTTGAGGTGTTGATGGATTGGCTGGATTAGTTAGCTTTCGCGGAGGCCACGGCACTTGGAAGGCTTTTGCATGCTCCAGATCCTCTTGGAGAGCACTGCTTGCTGGATTGCGAATGCACATCGAGGGCACCCACCTGCGACGTCTGGGGGTAGACAGAGACAGGAGCTCCTGCGACCTGTCAAGACTGATGATGTTTCAATAGTGCTCCAAAAATCGATCCGTAATGTATCCACCACGCAGCGGAGTATTATCCAGTCGCGTAATGCTCTCTGCTTGGCTTGCAGTTAAACCACATCAAGGTCATCCGCTGCGCAAGTACGTAAGGATTATGAATAGGGAGTTTGTTTGCGTCACTAGAGGCTGGGAGACGGGAATCTAATTGTCGGGAGTAGAAATACGTACACAGGCCAATTCAATGCCCAACGCCCCAACACCCACCTGACGGCAGAAGCCCCCAAGATGCATTGGGCCATGGGTGGACGCGAGAAACCCATGTGAGACAATGAAAAAAAAACTCCCCGCCGTGTGTGCCACACTCTTTCGCCCTCCGCAGACCGCGCTCGTCCTGCATTTATCGATCCCTGGGTGTCCTTAACGCCTGCCAACATATCTATTGTTCAGTATTTCAGTCATCGGCTGCGGAGTGCCACATGCTCCACAATATACCTGAAAGGACGGGATTTCCGCGTGCGGAGGACGCGCCTTTGTAGCAGAGACGAGGGCCTAGGGTGGGTTAAGTCAGGACGAATAACAAGCAGCATATTACGATTGGTATAAATGTCAGACAGCTGGTGATCGCATCTAAACGTTTCTTGTCCTCTTCTCCCACCTTTAGTCATATCTTTCTCACCAGCCGGTCTGGTCCTTTCATTTCACCCTCTTTACCCTCGCAGAAGCATAGCAGCTGGACTGCAAGGCCCCTTCCGCGCTTCCAACCGCCAACAAGCACATTCTGCTACTTTCATCAGGCAATCATCTCCTTTCATCATGGTCCGACCAGTATACGTTCTTGGCGCTGTCGTTGCAACGGCTGCCGTCTCTGCTGCTCCCATCCCGCTTGGGGCTGCACTTGGTGGGATGATGATGGGCGGTGTCCAAGCTAGCGCAGGCAATGACCAGAACGGCAACGCGAACCAGATCACCGATGCTGTGAGTGGGATATCTGTAGGGACGCACTGCCAGTACATCTCGCTAACGTCTTTTACTTACTTGAACAGTCCGACCGATCCGTCAACACACCCATCGTCAACCAACAGCAGTATTCGTTCAACAACCAGAAGATTGCGTCCGCTGCTGGAGCACCAAGCCCTCTACATTGGAATAACCATTCAGGCGCTGCACACGGGAGGGGTCGTGGCAAGCGGGGCCTTCAACTCGAAGACGAGCTTGTTCGTCGTCAGGTGGATGAATCGCTCGCTCCTCGCAGTTTCAGCAGCGCTCTCGGCATGTTGGGCGGCTTTGGCGGCGCCCAGGCCAATCTCGGCAGCGACGCCAATCTAAACTCCAACGTTAAGCAAGACACGAGCTACCGTGGCGTCACCAGTCCCATCCAGAACCAGCAGGTCTACTCATTCAAGAGGAGCGTAGACCAAGACCTCGAAGACATGCCTCTCCGCCGTCAGGTGGATGAATGGCTCGCTCCTCGCGGTTTCAGCAGCGCTCTCGGCATGCTGACCGGCTTTGGCGGCGCCCAGGCCAGCCTTGGCAACAGCGCCAACACCAATTCGAACGTCAAGTACGACCAGAGCTACCGTGGCGTCACCAGTCCCATCCAGAACCAGCAGGTCTACTCATTCAAGAGGAGCGTAGACCAAGACCTCGAAGACATGCCTGTCCGCCGTCAGGTGGATGAATGGCTCGCTCCTCGCGGTTTCAGCAGCGCTCTCGGCATGCTGACCGGCTTTGGCGGCGTCCATGCCAACCTTGGCAACAGCGCCAACACCAATTCGAACGTCAAGTACGACCAGAGCTACCGCCAAGTTGCCGCCCCCGTCACCAATGCGCAGGTATACTCGTTCTAGACTATTTTGGTTCACCGAATAAAATGGTAGCAATTGTGGTATATTGAGTAGCAAATGAGTTCGCATTGTAGCTTGATGGGCACTTTGGATAGCTGTGGAATGATAATGATAAGCCTTCAAGACGAACGAACATCTTAGACAAAGGCGTGGATGATTTTTTGCCAAAGGAGAGGACCTACTGCACTCGCACCTGCTGCATCTTGGTACAGTGAGACCTACACCGAGATTGAAAATGCGACCCATTAGATCGCTCAGGAGTATGCAATTGAGTGCTTCGATTTGGAGCAACATGGTCGCCTGTCCCGTTCAATCTCTCTTGGCCTTTGCCCAGGCGATGAACATACACGGAGAGCTTCACGGGAGACAAGGTGCAGCTGGAGCCTGGAAGCTGGATTCTGGAAACAATGTGTACTGAGACTATCTGATTCTCCACTGTCGACTCCAGAATGACCTACGTGTTGTTCCTTTGTTGGTAAACAGTTAAAAGTTAGGGATAGAGAGCTTGGCTTTGCACCACTGTCTGGTATGAGGGTGTTGGAGGCTCCGGCAAGCAAATGTGGGAGTGTGGCGCTCGCCAAACGGGCTGTGGTGCTGCGTGCCTCCACGAAAAATTAAAAGGGGCTCCTCCGCTCGCGCCTGCTCCGACAAGCTCGGACTGAAAGCTACTGCAAGCCTCTAACACTGGACGCGCTTAACAGCCAGCGCTTGACTGCAGGGCACGAGTCGCACACTCTCTTAACGACTGTCTGCCAGCGCGGGTTCTGCCATCACATATCCGGTGGTCTTGAGATCGGTCGAAGTCAGTGGAGGACAGTACTCGCTGGTCAAAAATTTCAGTGCCCACATTCATCACATGGGCTGTCATCGTCACGGCTTGCGCCACAGGCCATGTCTCAGGTGGGGCAGAGTCTGGTCGGGTTGGGCTGTCCAGTGATCCAATCGCCCGCACATACCAGCTAGCATGTCGTACTCTTCTTGCTCTTGATATATATAGGAGACGATATGCAAATTCCTTCAGACGGTTGACTCTCGTTCCTCAGGCTGGCCCTCTCCACAATCGCTAACACTACACTCTGGATTTCCCACTCCCTCCGCTTTCAACAAACTTCGACCTTTGCGCAGGACGCACGACCCATCACAATCACCCTTCTTGCTCATCACACTCTTCAAAACATGTACACCAAATCCATCCTCGTCTCTGCTCTCATTGCGTCAGTTTCCCTCTCCGGGGTTGCTGCCGCACAAACCTCTGAGGCTGGTGCCGTGCAGAAGCGATGTGCCATTGGCAGTTGCGGCACTACGAGCAACTCCAATAGCTCACAGAGCTCAAACGCGTCGATCAGTAACAACGAGACAGTTTCAAATCAACAGTGAGTGAAGCCTATGGGAGTGTGCAGGACTTCGAGCGAGGCTAAGACATAATTCCTATAGAGCTACCACTGGCTCGGGAAACCAAATTACTAAAGGAAACAACGGTGGCGGCAACTCATTTGGCGATGCACATGTCGGCAAGGTCTGTGGCCGCGCTTTCTTCGAGGCCAAGAAGAGGCAGATCGACGACCACGTTTCCATGGTGACTCGTAACATGGACTTCTCACGCTACACGGGCAACTTCAAGAG